AAGGAAAGGAAAGGAAAGGAAAGGAAAGGAAAGGAAAGGAAAGGAAAAGGAAAGAAAGAAAGAAAGAAAGAAAGAAAGAAAGAAAGAAAGAAAGAAAGAAAGAAAGAAAGAAAGAAAGAAGTTTGATACAGGCAGCAGCTTGGATGAATCTCAGAAATTCTCAGTGAAAAAAAACGCACACACTGAAGGACTCTAAATAGAGGCAATCCCAGAAAAGTCGACACTAATTTATAATCAGAATAGGCCACGCTGGTGGCAAGTCTCTGGAGCACTGTGCAGATTCCAGGAGCTAGAAGGTACATGCAGCTTGCAGTTCTAATGTGTGCTCAAGTCTCTTGCACTCAGTGCTGTGAACTTCACTGTGAGTTAACTACGCCTGGATGTTTTAAGCAGTAACAAAGCTCCATGAGTCAAAGTGCTCTCACTAACCCTGATGACCTGAGCTCAGTCCCCAGGTTTGAACATGAAGGAAAGAATCGACTCCTTCAAGTTGTGTATGGGTGTGGAGTTACACATGGCTGTGAACCACCATGTGGGTGCTGGGAACTAAGCTCAGTTCCTCTAGGAGGGCAGCCAGTGCTCTTAACCACTAAGCCATCTCTGCGGGTGTGTGTGTGTGTGTGTTTTATGTGTGTGTGTGTTTTGTGTATATGTTATATACACATATATGTTATATATTGTATATATGTGTGTATGTGTATGTATGTGTTACACAGATAGGAGTTATATACATATATGTGTTATATAACATATATTACACATATATAGTATATAATATGTATCATTTGGAAATAGGCTTCAAAGTTTCAAATATTCTGATTTTTTTTCTAAGCTGTGCCTGCCCTATATAGTCCCTGGAAGCTCTGAACAGAGTGTAGAGTGCATGCCCAGACAGAAACACTGACAACTGCCCATGTTGCAGAGACAGGTATGCACAAGTCCTGCAGTCCGTGCCACACCAGCTAGGATCACACTGGGCCACACACAGAGGAGACTGCAGAGCTACGAGGGGGAAAATGTTTAATTTTCAGAGTTTTGACATTCTCATTGCAGACAAGAGGCTCTGGTACTCATCACAGTGAGCAGACAGAAGGGACTGGGTGAGAAGACAAGACCCCCTGATGCCTCCCACACACACACATACCTGCTGCTTCTGAGTAACCTGGAGGCTTCCCGGGAGTCACAGTACTCTGGGATCAACCTGCCATCTGTTCTGTATCCTAGAAAGCAGGGAATGGACTGAGAGCAGGGCCTAGCCAGGATAAGCAAGCTTTTATCAGGTTCTGCCATCTGATGAGAGCAATTCCTATCTCAGAGGTGGAATAAGACTAGGAAATGATATAAACAATCCTACCAGGAGGGGGCGCTCTAGGATGGTCATATGCCTTGCAAGACACTCGCCCTTGGTTTCACAGTGTATCTCATTTTAGGATTTCTTTAGGATAAATCCCTAAAAGTTTAGTTGCCTAAACAAATGTATTTTGAATTTTAATTTGTGTCAATATTGTTTTTTAATTGGTGCTGACCAAATGTTCACACATACACATACATAAAGCTGTCAATTCAATCACCCTGCTACCAAAGAGCACTTCTTTCCTGTTACAGATCAGTTGGGCATTTTCAATACTGCGCAAACAGGGCTTTGATGAAAGTAAGAGATGGTACAAGCTGTATGGGGCTTCTGCCAGCTGACGTTGTTGTAGAGTGAGGAGAATATATATATATATATGCAGGAAGTAACTCAAGGAATGATCAAAGGAGTGAATGCATAAGCCAGCAACGGAGTCATTTATCATGATCAAGGAGTATACACCACACCATAATTGTATATGTCAGGTTTGACAAGAGTGGTGAAGCCTGTTCCTACCAGCATCACCACATTACCACAAAAAAGTTTTAAAAATAAAATAAAATAAAATGAAACAAATAAAACCCACAGGAGAAAGACCCTATGACAGCAGCAATAGAAATCTCCCAGCTCCATTTTAACTTAATGAGACATTGTCTGTGGTCCTCGGTTGATGGAAATAATGTTATGAATATAGTCTTTACACAGTCTTGGACCAAGTTAAGTATTAATTTCCATTTTTAAAAGAACATTATAGGAAAATCATGTTGCTAGGATTATAGACACATGCAACAGTGCTTGATTTGTTTGTTGTTGGGTTGGGTTGGGTTGGGGCGTTACAGTGGGTGCTGAGGACTCATATTTGAGTCCTTAAGCTTGCCCAGTAAGGTCCCTTAGCCACTGAGCCATTGCCTCGGCCTCTAGTTCCAAGTTCTTCAGTATCAGCCAGGTTGAGCTTATACCTCCTTCATCAATATGTTCCTTTTTGTAATTTTCAAATCAGAAGGTCCAGGAGCATGGCAGCAGGCAGGAACGCATAGTGCCGGAGTAGTAGGTGAGACCTTACATCTAGTCGATAAGCAGGAGACAGAGAGAGGGTAAACTGGAAATGTTGTAGGCTCCTGAAACATCAAAACCCACCCCCCAGAGACACACCTCCTCCAATACCTCTTAATCCTTCCCAAAGAGTTCCACCACCTAGGGACCAAGCATTCAAATATGTGAGCCTGTGGGGGCCATTCTCCTTTGAGTGACCACATTCCATTCCTGGTCCCCACAGGCTTGTAGCCGTATCAGAACAAAATGCATTTAATCCAACTCCAAAAGTCTTCAAAGCTTTTCACGGTCTCAACATTGTTGAGAAGTCCAAAGTTCAGTCTCTTTCAGGACTCAAGGCAATCAATCCCTTAACTGTAACCTGTAAAATCAAAAAGAAAATGACATACTTCCAACATGCCATGCCACAGAATCTACATTACCATTCCAAAAAGAGAGGCCAGCGGATATCATACTCTCAACGGTATCTTTTAACTTAGCTTATATGTTTTAAACAAACTTCTTTGACCGTTTATCAATATTTTTCTAAGAGTTGGGTGTTAAGGGACGTCCCTAACACCAGAAGAATGTTGGGAACAAAAACATCAGGCTCATTGACTTACAGCATCTGGGAACATTGGAGATGAAGGTCTATTAGACATCATTACAGCCATCCTACTGAGCTAAGATGGAACCTTCCGGAATCCTCCATTTAGAAGGGTCAATGTGTTGATCCCTCATTTCATTAAGAAACAGTCGAGTGTCTACTACAGGCTGGCACCAGGCCAGGCATGGAACCACACTGGGAAACAGACTGAACCTGGCCTATGGGGCCCACCCTGTCCCGGGACCACTTTTGCTAACACTGAGCTCCTATGTGCTGAGCCCTCAGTTCATGCTGGAATGTGGCTGGACACCACACTGTAGCCTCCCAGGCTTTCGGATATCCTGAACACAGCTAGGGGTACCTTGAGATATGTGTTCCTCATCTCTGAGATCTACCCTACAAGCTCAAGTGCTGAAAACTTAGAGGAGGGGAGAACAGGGAATAAGGAAGCCAGGGCTTTCAGGCTCTGGAGGGGAAAGTGCCTCCAGCACTGTCCACCTCACCTGCTCACAGACAGCCAGAAAGTCGGTGCCATTCCTGAACGTGGATGTGTGGTCCAAGGAACTGCTGTGGGCCGTCACCAAGTCTGGCAAGACACAGCAAGAGCACTCCCCAGACAAGGTAGGTCCCAAGGTCCCCCGCCTGTTCACCACACAAGCCCATGAGCTCTGTCATGGGACAAGCAGGGCTCTGGAACAAAATTGGTGCATCTAAAGGGCAAAAGGACTAGGCCTGGGCAGCTGGACTAGAAGTGGCTCCCTCCCTTACCACAGGCTGGGAGTTAGGCCATCCTGGGACATGAGAAGGGTGGCCTCAGGGTGAGGGAGCCCAGGGAAGTTGGTCATAGGAGCTCAGGTCAGGTGGGTCCCGCTCAGGAGAGGATGTTGAACCCCACCAGGCCTTCCTGTTTACCTACTATGGGCTAATCCTTCAAGCTGAGGAGAGCAGCACCACCGTGAGGATGCATCTCAAAACCCTCTTGGAAACGTCTCACCAGTGGGCCAAGCAAAGGGAGGTGAGGCCCCAAACAGGGGAAAGTGAGGGCCCAGGCAGGGGGAGGTGAGGGCCCAGGCAGAGGGAGGTGAGGGCCCAGACAGGGGGAGGTGAGGGCCCATGCAGGGGAGGTGAAGACCCAGACAGGGGGAGGTGAGGGCCCATGCAGGGGAGGTGAGGACCCAGTCTCCTTTGATCCTCTAACCCAAACCACAGCTTTGGTCATGGTCACACACTGACCCTGATCATAAACTGAGTTGTGCTGGTCACCTACCGACCCCTGGCTTCCATCACACAGAGCTCTGATCCTCATCACACCCTCAACTGTGGTCCCATCTCACACTGAGCCCTGACCCTGTTCATACTCAGCCATGTTCCTAGTCACAGAATGAGCCCCTACCTGGTTTCACCATGACCCCTGATGGTCGCACACGCACACTGACCGTTAATCCCACTCCCATAGTGAGCCCTAAAGGTCACACGCTGAACCCCTGTTTTCATCACATGCTGAACCTTGCTCCTAGCACTGAGACCCCCGGAGTCTGCTCTCATACTGTGTCCTCATCACTCTCACACCGTGGTTCTCCAGTCAGAATACGAGCCCTGGTCCTGGTCACACACTGAGCCCTGGTGCTGCTCACAATCTGAGATCTGACCATGCACGCACACTGAGGCCTGATCCTTGCTTTATACTAAGCCCTGATCCTTGTCAGGTCCTGAAGGCTGCACAGCATGATCTCTGACTCAGTCACAAACTGAACCCTAATCACATTTCTTGCATCTCATATGTGTCTTCACTGCTACTCCTGAGCATGTCTGCTCAGAGTTGAGCTGCCATGATAGACAGCCAACCCCAAAAGCTCTCTTTCTTCCTCTCCCCACCCCCAACTCGACCCACCAGACTCCACAAGAGACACCTCCTGGGTGTCTGGGCTCTGAGCTGCAGGTCCTAAATTGTGTGTGAGTTCCTGCCCCCTGATGGTGGACTGGAGAATTACTGGATTCTGGTCACAGACTCAGGGGACTCTGCCCACAGGGCATTGCTCTCACAGTGGGGCTGGTTGCAGTACGCCACTTGGATGATGCCTGGGCCATCCTAGAACAGTTTGGGCGGAGCACACCCTTCAAGTGGAGCCTACAGAACTTTTCCCTGAAGGTATCAACTCAGGGTTCCTGGGGTTGCAGGTTGGGGAGGGGGGAGTAGGGGTGGACATCAAATCCCACACTGCCTGAAGGGAAGCATAGCAACCACTGCAAGTTTATCACTGAGGCAAAGATTTATCCGAAAGGTGAGACACTCGGCCCAAGAACTGCTTGTGAACATTGGAGGGGGCTCCATTCTGTGCCACCTTACTGCACCCCACATGACTGCCCCTGGAAGACAGTTCCTGGGAGCCTCTCCATGGGGATTCCTGGGTTGGGGAAGCTCTCCACATTCTTGATGGTCTGTTCACGGTTAACCCTGCAACCTAGAGAAGGCTCCGCTGGGTCTTCACATCTGGCAAGTGGCAGAATTGAAGCACACGCCTCAGACTCTCTGTGGTTACCTGTTTGGTTATGCAGTGTCATCAGGCTAGTACTGTAGTGACATATGAGAGGAGAGGTGACTCTGGGCCACACTCAAGCAGGAAATTCCACTTTGCCCATTACTGTCTGTCTGGATAGAACCGTGATCTTTCCAGGTCCCTGGCAGCCCACACGTGTATGGTATGCCCCTCAGGGTGCTGAGGTATATAAAGAAAGGGCTATCACAGGCGAGGCCCCAACTCTTCCAGTTCCGGTGGAGCCTCATACACCACCTTTGATGACCCAGTATAATCAGCCCAACTCCCTGAAACTCCAGTTCCATTTCTGCTGTTCTCATTTGGTGAACAAAGACCCTCTAGACACTCCCCTCCCCCACCTTGCTGGGATCAGGGTACCCCCTCTCACCACTCCCCAAGTAGACTGTGGGCAAGGCCTGACACCAAATCCACTCCTACCCAGCCCCACAACCACAACCTTGAGGACCTTCGGTGGAAGTGGGCCAGCTGCACCATCCTCCTCTCCTACGGCCAGATGGCAGCCTGGGCCAAGAGTTACATCCTGCCTTGGGTGGACAACATCTTATCCAGGATGATCTTCTACTTCCGCTTTAGCTCTTGGGTACAGGTTACCTTGCTCACCATCACCCCAGTCCAGCACCTTCCCCAGGACAGAAAGAGGATGCCAGCTCTGCCCTGCCCCAATCGCGGAGTTAGAGAAGCCCAGGGCCATCTCTGTCCTGTGTCCAACTCCCCTGCCCTCCTGCCAAGCCTCCTGTGGGGTGCATTACCCTGGTGCCTTTATCATCCCTGAAAAATTCTCTGCTCTAATTAGGACCCCATTCCCCACTTCTGGATTTTTACTTGGGGGAGGGCTGGATCCTAAGAGACCAGAGTGATTCCTTTCTCTAAGGAGCACCATAGCCTGGGTTGTCATAATGGCCAACCCTAAGTCTACCCATCAAGGCTATAGTCACCACACCCCAGAAACCCTCACAGGCCCCTGTCACGTTTTGACCAGGCTCACAGAATTCACACGTTTAAACCAAGAGCGTGTGCTCCTTTCTAAAGAAAACCCTTCCCACCAGCTCCCAGCCCAGTGGTCCCCACCATGCCCCTCTTACCCTGACTCAAGTGTGCCTGAAGATGGTGGCTTTGGCCTCGCTTCTTGCTCTCTCCCCCCAAGCTCCTGGGCTCTCAGCCTGATCTGTGCCCTGGGGCCTGACCTACACAGGATGAGACCCTGAAACAAAGCTTTCTTACGGCTGTCACGATGCTGGTGGGGGCCATCAGCCGGAGTGAAGGTGCCCACAGCTACGAGTTCTCCCAGACGAGTGAACTCCTCGAGTGTCTGATGGTATGTGCACAGGAAGCCTTCCCCTCAGAGCAGCCCTCTTAGGCAGAGCTTCCTCTCTCAGACCAGCAGCTTTCCTAGGTACAGGAAGCCTCCTCCCTCAGACCTGGGAAAGGGCAAGCACAGTCCCAGCCCCATCTGGAAATACTCCACATACCCTGAGTTAGTTGGGTCTTGCTGGGACCCGAGCAGACCAGGTATGCCCACATTACAAGCGATGCCATTGAGACCCAGAAAGGCAAACACACTCCATTCTGCATAATTTCTTGGCTTGGGTCCCAAAGTAATCACGTCAGATTTCAGAAACTGTGAAGTAGCGTGGGGAGCTAAGGGCCACTGATCAAAACAGGGTGGCTCCTGTCCCCTGCCTGATCCCCAGCAGCAGAGTGGAATGATTTTCACTACAAGGTGGATTAAGACAAGCAGCAGCATCACCCAGGTTGTGTGTAGTGGGAGTAAGACTTGGTGTCAGAGGTGGGGTCTGCTAGCCTCTGCACCTTCTCCCGTGGACTTACAGACACTGATTGAGAAAGAACCGCAAGACACGCTGCTCACCAGCATCCGTCAGCAGGCCATCCACATTATTTCCAGCCTCTGGTAGGTTACAGTCTGTGATGACTGTCAACTCTCTGCCCAGGCTGCTAGCAGGACAAGGTGGAGGGATGTCAGACATCAAAGCCCTGCAAGGCAGAGCAGCTTAAGCCACCACAGGTCATAGGGGGCAATGAGGGGTCTGGGACATTTAGTCTGAGCACAGCCACTCCACACAGAGTTGACTCTCTCTCTCTCTCAGATACTCAAGTAAGGAAGAATCAAGGAGGCCAAGCATCTAGACCTAGCCAAGCCCCAGGGAGAAGGGATGAACCTGGATCTAGAGAGCCAAGGATGCAGGACCTGGTTTATCTTTCCACTCACAGGTTAGGGAGGAGGTTAGACCAGGGTGCTCAGAGCTACGTGCTCACAGACCACAGCAGGCAGTTTATATGGCCTTTGGCAGGGTTGGCAGGTAGAGCTGGTGGCTATCCACTCTGACTGCATTTCCCAGATGCATTGTCTCTGCTAGGCTTCACTTCCTATTCACCTGCTGCACAGTCACTGGTGATCTCTAGGTGCTAGACCCTGAATGGTCTCTGGGGACACAGCTGGAAGCCAGCAGAAGACACCTCTGTTCTCTAAACATACCCCTGAGATGGGATACGTACAGCACAGGGAATTGAGAAAGGTGCTGAAAGAGACTGAAGTAGGAAGCGAGATAGGGAGAATGCAACATTTTCATGGTAGGGGCCCCAGCACTGGGTCGAGGCTGATTGACAGTTGGTAGAGTATTGCTTCATAGACTGTTCCTATAAGCTTGGTGCTCTGCTAGAGTCCAGGGCATGGCCTGTGGCTGACTGAAAGGGAACGGTTAAGCAGATCCTGCATGAGTGAGTCTGTGAGCCCTGCAGGTACAGAACTGCACTGACGGCACCTCCGAAGGCCCTTAGCCAGCATGTGCTTGAGTTGCTAGGTGAGTAGGAGACGGAGGAGGCCAATGGGTGCACAAATCTCAGTAAGAAGCAAAGATCCAAGGCTAGAGAGATGGCTCAGTGGTTAAGAGCACTGGCTGCTCTTCCGGAGGACCCAGGTTCAATTCCCAACACCCACGTGACAGCTCACAACTGTCTGGAACTCCAGTTCAAGGGGATCTGACACCCTCACATGTACATACATGCAATCAACACACCAATGTACATAAAACAACAATAAATTAAAAAAAAAAAAAACAGAAGTAGAAGCAGCAAAAGGCTGCATTGTCAGAAACAGACGATAGGGGACTCCTGAACCCTGACCTCTGCCTTCACAATCCCAGGCCCTCAGGACCCTTTACCCTCCCAACAGTGAGCTGAGGCCACCCATGGATGCAGACAGGAAATCCCGCCTCCTCTCCATCTGCTTCCGCAGCATCTTTACCCTGCCACAGCTGGATGCCCTGGAGAAGCACACCTCCCACCTCCTGGAACCACCCAACATCGAGGTGCAGCATGCACTAAAGCCAAGGGGACTTTGGCAGGACACCAGGCTCAGTCTGCTGTGTGTGGCTGGATGGGGAGCAAGGGCTGGCCGCTCTACAGGCAGGGTGGAGGCCCTGGGTAGTAGCCTCAAGGCTCTGGCATTTGCCTGCCTAGGACATGGTCCATGATCATCATCCTTTGGGCCATGATTACTAAGACAGGTGGCTTACCTGGTGTGTGCCTGCCCAGGAACTCTGTATGTAATGGTATGCACAGCTGATCCAAGATCCATGTAGGCAAAGTCACCACTGTGTTTCCCTTCTCCCAAGCCCCATGCCAACCCCAGGAATTCACAGAAGAGGGGAGATGGCTTTCTTAAAGAGAAGCGCTCCCTGATATTGCAGGAAATTGTTCTGCCACACTAAGGTGGCTTAGGGAGTCACTGTCCCTGAAAGTGGGCTCTATTTCACCACACCTATCTGCCTGCCTGGGTCACCTGGTCCACCCTCTTCAATACTAGCCGGCCTTGCAGAAAAGATACATGTTATGTCTCATAGCTACCACCAGAGGGCACATGAGATTGCCAGGCATAGTCCCAGCCCGGCATGTCAGTAGCAAAGGGCAGGACAGCTTTGTGAAGTGAACTCCACTTTGTGGAGCAAAGGCACCAGGCTGTCTGTGTACCCTTCCCACCTTCCCACAGTGACTTGGCGGCAAGGGGTACACAGCTCAAAAGGAAAAAATCAATAGTGAGGATGCCAAGATCTGAATACACCCAAGAGCCCTACTTGTATTATACACCCACGAGGCTGTGTCCTGGCTGTGTCTAGACAGCCAGGCCCTTTGGGAACAGGTGGTGATATAGGGAGTCATAGTGTCTGTCCCAACATCTTTCAAAGCTACTGGTGATTGGAAGACTCCTTGACTCTGCAGAAAACACAACTAAAGTCTGTGCATCCACGTTGGAAGCTGGTAACATTGATCCAGTCTCCTGTTTGATGCCACTCATTCTGTCTCCTGTCCTATCACTTGGGACTGGCTGCCTGTCACCACTGTGGAAGAATGTTGTCCTAAGAAATGGAACCATCTTTCCAGGTCACCAGATAGCAAATGGCCAATGTTCCTAATGGCCACATGAGTCTGACTGGGCATTTCTGTGACTGCCCCCCTTCCCTGAACATGCCAGTGATAAACACTGTTGAGGGAGCTTACATGAACCCCAGAAGTCACATCTGCCATGTCTTTTGAGGACCAGGGGAAGGTGTTTATCTAGGCCCCTTTTTAAAACTTTTAAGAGGACCAGTGGGATGGCTACTATGTAAAAGTGCTTGCCACTCAACCTCCATGGCCTAAGTTTGATCCCAGAATCCATAGTAAGAGAGAACAAATGGCTGAAAGTTGCCCTCTGGTTTCCACACACATACTGCAGCATGCATGCACACACTTGCACACATGCTAAATAAATAATGGAATTAAAATTTGCTAAGAGCTTTGGGATGAAAACTTACTTTCAGTAATAACATCCCTTTGACCCTGGGGTCCTGGGGCAAGACAGCCCTGGTCACATGTCTACATGTCTATGGAGTCAGCCCTGCTGGGACTGAATTGTCCTGCAGCCATGAGTGGGTTCCCAAGGCCTTTCTAACCAATATCCATACCTGTGTGGCAAGTCCCCTTGCAAACACAGTAGTGGGCTCTGTTGGTTGTGGGAGCCCAGCCTGAACACATGCAGAAAGTGGGGGCCATTGGACATTATAGCAGTTTTGGGGCTTCATCCCCACAGGACCTTGCTGACCTCCTCTCTTCCGCAGGGACTATTCAGCCAGACCATGGAGGCACTGGACCACATGCTGCAGTGTTTCATGGTGCAGAACCCCACAGCCAATGAGCTACACTTCCTGCTGTCGGTGAGGGCTTCTGGCAGCTGGGGAACAGGGCAGGGGTACACAGCTCTGGCCCGAGAGTCCCAAAGAGGACATTCCACAGGAAGCAGGACCTGGGCAGTAGGCTTCACATGTCTTGAGATTTGGATCATCTGGAGGAGACAGGGAAGCATCACTCAGCCTGACCAGAAAGAGATCTGCTGAGGAAATGGCTTCCCCTACCACCTATGCCCATGCCCCAGTGTACCTCAAGGATATGAATCCCATAAACCACATCATCTGCCCACTAAGGTGTCCATGGGAGGGAGACCACTCAGCAGATAGTAAAAGCCTAGGAAGAGGGTCTCGACCCAGAAGACAGGCTAGCTCCACCAAAGCCAGAGGTCAAGACCAATGGAAGTTCACTAAAGAGCCCTGAATGAAGACCATAGCCATCCCTGAGAAAAGAAGGACCCACAGAGTAGCCTGGAGCCAGGGGGAGGCAAAAGCAAACTCAGTAGGGCAGAGTAGAAGTAACGTGACCCACTGGAGCCTGAAAGGGGAAGGGGTAATGGTATGGCTCAGCCCAGCAAGGGCAGGGCCTCATCAAGAAGCCAAGAGAAGCAGGAGCTCCACGCCCTGGTGTGCACAGGTGACGTCAGGAGGAGGAACACAGGAAAGGGAGCTCCAAAGCAACAAAGTAGCATGCCACTCTAGGAGTGTGCTCAGGTGGCAGTGGCTTCTACCAGTGCAAGTCACAACGGTTTCCGCATCCATTCCTGGGCCACTCTATCTCCAAATACCCTGTGTCTAGATCAGCTGACCACCCAGCTTCTCGACATGCATTGTCTAAATCAATGTCTATTCTCTACCAGAGGCAAGTTCGTCCCTGTTTGTGTGCATGGCAGAAGGTTCTAGAAAGGGCCACCTGGCACCCAGCAGGCTGAGCACTTATGGGGGAGGGAATGTGTGTGCCACACAGGAAGAAGGTAGTCCTGAAGGGTGGTTCTAGGGACAGAGACTGACAAGGGAACAGGAGAAGCTGAATCTGGACGTGGTAAAAACCAAAGAGCATTTACTCTGAGGGGTGGGCAGGGATGGCCATTTCTGGGGGTGTGGCAAAGCTCCTAACCACATCCAACCTGCAGCACCTGTACATCTGGCTGACCTCAGAGAAGACTCATGAGCGACAACGGGCAGTGCAAAGATGCACAACACTGTTCAAATTCCTAACTGAAAAATGCTGCCTAAGTGTAAGCACCACCTCCCAAGCGCCACCCCTCCCCAGCTCAACCCCTCCCCAGCTCCACCCCTCCCCAGCTCCACTCCTCCCCAGCTCCACCTCACTCCAGCTCCTCCTCTCCCCAGCTCCACCTATCTCCAGCTCCTCCTCTCCCCAGCTCCACCCCTCCCCAGCTCCACC